AAAGAAATTAGAATACAATTGGTCTGAATTAATAAGTACCTCGGTCACTGGCTTATTCTCACCCAGAACCTCATGAAGCCTCTGCTCTGTGAAAGGCCATGTTAGCGATGGGGACAGTAGGAGAAGCAGAACACCCCCGCACCTAGAGTGATGGTCTAGGAGCTGCAGTCACATGAGGAAGGTGGAGAGACATCCCCTAGTCACACACAACAAGGCAATGTGGTGCGAGGTGGTGGGGTACCAGAAGGAACACTCGGTGCCTGAGGCAGGGTGGTTTGGGGCTTTTGAAAGCTGGATTCCTTCTGTGGGAAGTGATTGTCATGAAGCTGGGTGTTAGCATTACAGTGAAAAGGAAAGCAAGAAGAATGAGGGTTTTTTTTGTTTTTTTTTCCCCTTGCCTGTGAGCAGAACTTAACATTGCTAGTTGTTTTAGTTAAACTGCTTCTAACTCTACATGTCTGTAACTAAGGTTTGCCTTTCTGCACCCTAACTCTACAGGAATTATGAAAGTGTGAAAGTCTCTCAGTAGTGTCCAACTCTTTGCGACCCCATGGACTGCATAGTCCATGGAATTCTCCAGGCCAGAGTATTGGAGTGGGTAACCATTACCTTCTCCAGAAGAGCTTCACAACCCAGGCCTCCTGCATTGTAGGCTGATTCTTAACCAGCTGAGCCACAAGGGAAGCCCAAGAATACTGGAGTGGATAGCCTACCCCTTCTCCAGTGGATCTTCCCGACCCAGGAATTGAACTGGGGTCTCCTGCATTGCAGGTGGATTCTTTATCAGCTGAGCTACCAGAGAAGCCCACAGAGCTATACGTCACATCTATTTTTCTTTGAATCTATGCTAAATACACCATGTGTCTGGTGTTTACCTTTACAACACCCTTCCCCTTGTAGTTACATATCAGAAAGTAGGCCACAGAGTCACCGAACTGCCAGGCTCAATTACTGGGTTACTGATGCCAGTCTATGACTGTCTTTGAAACAATGTAAGATAAATAAATCAAGATCCTAACTCCTTGGTTCCTCATCACTGACTCCTGACTAGGAGCTCCCATCTTATATCAGCCCCTAGATTCCTCATGGACAGGGGGCTCAGTTTTTGAGGCATGAGCCTACTTTCTTCCCCTCTCTGCTGACTGAGAATAAAAGCCATCTTTCTATTGCCTGCCCACTCTGTCTCTGTATTTTTATTTACCTTCTGTGGGCAGAGAAGGCCAAGATTTTGGCCAGCAACATTATGGAACTTCCCTGAAAACCTGCACAGTGGCCCTTGGGCTCCCTGATAGCTGTGACCTTCGTGAATGGCAGGTATCAGAGAAGAGACAGTGGGAGGACAAGGGCAGTGGGAGTTTTCTTTATAAGATCTGGCTAGGATATGCCCAATGCACCACCCTTCACTTTCAAGGTGGATTCTAAATGTAAGATCAGAAACTATAAAACTCCTAGAGGAGAACATAGGCAAAACACTCTCTGACATAAATCACAGCAAGATCCTCTATGACCCACCTCCCAGAATATTGGAAATGAAAGCAAAAATAAATGGTACCTAATGAAACTTAAAAGCTTTTGCACAACAAAGGAAACTATAAGCAAGGTGAAAAGACAGCCTTCAAAATGGGAGAAAATAATAGCAAATGAAGAAACAAAGGATTAATCTCAAAAATATACAAGCAACTCCTGCAGCTCAATTCCAGAAAAATAAATGACCCAATCAAAACATGGGTCAAAGATCTAAACAGACATTTCTCCAAAGAAGGCATACAGATGTCTAACAAACACATGAAAAGGTGCTTAACATCACTCATTATCAGAGAAATGCAAATCCAAACCACAATGAGGTACCATTACACGCCAGTCAGGATGGCTGCTATCCAAAAGTCTACAAGCAATAAATGCTGGAGAAGGTGTGGAGAAAAGGGAACCCTCTTACACTGTTGGTGGGAATGCAAACTAGTAGAGCCACTATGGAGAACAGTGTGAAGATTCCTTTAAAAACTGGAAATAGAACTGCCATGTGACCCATCAATCCCACTGCTGGGCATACACACTGAGGAAATCAGAATTGAAAGAGACACGTGTACCCCAGTGTTCGTCGAGGCACTGTTTATAATAGCCAGGACATGGAAGCAACCTAGATGCCCATCAGCAGACGAATGGATAAGGAAGCTATGTTACATATACACAATGGAATATTACTCAGCCATTACAAAGAATACATTTGAATCAGTTCTAATGAGATGGATAAAACTGGAGCCCATTATACAGAGTGAAGTAAGCCAGAAAGATAAAGACCAATACAGTATACTAATGCATATATATGGAATTTAGAAAGATGGTAACGATAACCCTATATGCAATATAGCCCTATGGGTCTCAGGACAGTAAGGGCTCTTTTAGGGACCCCAAGAAAGAGAGGCCTAATTTCTCCTCATCTGTCAAGTGAGTATCCTGCTGGACACTGTCCCTGTGCCCATGAAGCCACTCTGCCAGGCTCTTGTCAAACTCTTGATGTGTCTTGTAAATGAGTGGGTCCAGAGCATCTGAAGGGCTTGCCCAGCTATATATGAGGTGCCAGCATGGTGCCATGGGTGGGTGGCCATCTATCTTGCTTTCGCGAGCAAGGAGCTGCCTGAGGGGACTCAAATGCTCTGCCAGGCCTAGGATGGAGGCACTGAAGACATGGGCTGGATGGGAAACCCCTGGTGTTTTCAGGTTCTTTATTGCTATGCAGTGTTCTGATCACAGGGCTGCCTCTACCTGTCTGAATAGGGTGCATATTTGGGTTCCTCTAGGAATGCATCTGAAGGAGGTGGGGATGATGGGAATGAATGGCTGGAGATTATGGGAAAGAGGGGCTACCTGAGCAGTAGTAGAAGGCATTCTGGGGCTGAGCCACAATATGCATTGAGGTAGTGCACAGAAGCACCAGCGTGGACACTGGGAGCTGCCAGGGGGCAGGATGAAGATCTGGGTGGGCACAGTGGTGGGGCCCACCACCACCACAGAAGGAGCCATCTGGGCAGGAGGCCAGGTGAAGCAGAGCCACAGGCTCTCGATGGTCAGGGCCACCTCCTCAGGACAGGAACTAGTGAGACTGGAGTCTGCATCCCCTAGGGCTGCCAGGCATCAAGAGCCATCAAGAGGGATGTGGCTGCTGTCCCCGGACCAGCAGCAGGGACGGCATAGGTCCTGGCCATGGCGGTGGCAGGGGTAAGATCCAGGTGGCTTGCAGTCCCGTGGGCACCCTCAGGCCAAGATGAAAGGCCGTCCTGTGCCTGTGTGGTGTTTGGTGCAGGAACGATGCCCAGGGCTGCCCTCCTGCATTCCACCTGCCAAGATGCAGTCTTATGTCCCCTCTCCTCTTCATCTGCCCCAGGAGGTGTGAGCTGTCTCTCTTAATCAGGGAATTGCAGCAGAACTATAACTGGGGTTCACTGAGAGAGAGAGAGAGAGAGAGAGAGAGAGAGAGAGAATAGCAAAGTCCGAGTCTCACAAGACTTACTAAAGCCAGCACCATCCCAGCTAGGCCCCTGGATGCTCCCAGCCAGCCATCCCCAGGCCTCATGGAGAAAGTGGGACCCTGTCCCACAGGAGGCAGTGATCCAGCTTGCCCATCCTCAACGGTCACTAACTCACCATTGCCTCTTGCACTTGGAAAATGACTCAGAGTGGCCCAAGAGTACTGATACAAGACCCAGAGGGGGACTCGACATTTGCAGCGGGCAGACTGCAGAAGATTCTCTGCTTTCTCTGCAGGTGTTGATCCCTGGACTGCACTTCCTCGGCTGACCAGGACACTTCCCAGGAAAGGACCTGTGTTCCCTGCACTAGACTTCTGCTCCACAGCTATGTGAGTCATGTGCTTAGTCACTAAGTCCTGTGTGACTCTTTGCGACCCCATGGACAATAGCTCACCAGGCTCCTCTGTCCATGGGGATTCTCGTGGCAAGAATACAGGAGTGGGTTGCTGTGCCCTGCTCCAGGGGATCTTCTCAAGCCAGTGATAGATCCCAGGTCTTCCTCCTTACAGGTGGATTATTTCAGGTCTGAGCCACGAGGGAGTCATAGAGGCACACAAACCCCTCTCCCCACCTGCTTCCACCCAGGGACCATATGCTGGTCCCCAGTCCTGTCTTTACACATAGCTTTCCCGGCAGACCTGCCACCGTCCCTGGCGGCTCTGAGGTTGGCACCCACCCTGCCCCCAGGGCCCAGCAGGTACTCCCCTGCCTTTACGTTGCTCAGGAGACAGGGGGGCTCCTCTGTAATCAGGTTGGTCAGGCAGAGCGAGGTGAGCAATCCCTGACACACTTTGCTGAATCCATACAGGCTAAGCTGGTGGATGAAGCTCTTCATACAGTCTGTCTCAAACACCTTGTCTGAGCCCACCCTCTCCAAAAGGTTCTCAAAGAGATCCTCACTGATGCCTATACAAGTGGCATCTTCCTCCCACCAGATGGACCAAGGTGGTGACTGTTAATGATGGTCCACTGCTTCATGGGAAAGCGGAGGGAGAGGAGGCTGCCCTCTCCCCCCAGGCAAGGCACCACATTGGTGTGCAGCCTCTTCAACAAAGGCTCTCCACTCAAAGCCTGGAAAGCGCTCTCTTCCAGCAGCAGCTTGAAGCTGCGGTGGCCCATGGGCACGGGCTAGGCCAGCACAACTGAAAGGTCCACAGGGAGGAGTGCAGCTCCATGAGCTGAGGGCTGGAGCCCCTCTGTTTGGAAGAAAGCGAAGCCCCCCGAAGTCGGGCACCCTGTGCATCATGGGGCCCTCCTTGTCCACAGCCATGTGGACTGTGGTGCATCCCTCTTTCCTGGAAAAGGGACAGTACAGTGGCCAGGAGCAGTCCAGGCTCACAAGGGTGCTTGGCCCCTCACCAAAGGCCTCTGCTTGCTCGGGGCTGACATCACAAGACAGTCATTAAGTGACCTAATAAAGGGCTGGCTGCACCCAGGCTAGTCAGCTTGTCAGCCTCCTGGTCCACGGTCATCATGGCAGTGGGCACCATGACACTAGTGCACAGGTGAGAAGTTTCAGGCCCAGCCCTTGTGTAAACCAGGCATGGCATTCTGGTCCTGGAGCCCTGGGGCCAGGCTGACACATACAGAGAGACGTGTGACCCTCAAAGTCAGCCCCTCCTCTGTGTTCACAGTTGACTTGAGGGTTGTGCATGGCAACCTTGGGCTCAAACACAGCCACGTCCAGGGTGGAGGGTCCATGGTCAAGGGTACAGCCACCCGGCCCTCTGTGCACTGTTGCTGGCCAAGCAGCCGGCCCCCACACAGACCCTCTCCGGGCCCTGCCATTGGTCTGTGGGAACCCCAGGGTGGGAGGTGTAGAGAAATTGGCTAAACTCCCAGGGACACAGGAGGAGAACAGGCCACTGTCCTCTGGGCTCCACAGCCTGCCCATGTCCACCCCCTGCTGCCCTTGCTCTGCGCACCGTGGTCCCAGGCACGTGGGAGGGGGCAGTCACCTGAGCCTTCACACACAGTGTGGCTCCCTTTCTTGAGACCACAGTCCATGGGACATCCATCCAGCTCTGCGTCCAGGCTGTGACAGTTGCCGTCCTGCTCTGGGGCCTGATGCTCTAGCATCAAATAGGCAGGCATGCAGGGCAGCTCACATGGGCGGTCCACCCTGTTAATGCCCTCCACTCCAACTCCACTCCTGGGGTTGACGATTTTCCTGAGATTTCCAGAATCAGAAATGCCTCTGACCTTGAGGCATCAGCCAGCTGGGGCCCAGGAGCCCAGCCCAGTGGATGAGAGAGAGGGCTCAGGTGACGAGGCGCCAAGGCGGGCACCTCGGTGCTGCTGATCCCCAGCTGCCTGGCTCACCCACTGTGACCTCTGCTTCCCCACATGGGTAATCCTAGGGGCACATGTCTCACGGGGTCCTGAGGACTCAGGGGAGGTACAGGAGGTGGCGAGGTTCCTGACACTTAAGCCTGCCACGTGGTTATGGGAAAGCGGGCTGTATCTCACAACAAGTCTGCGTCTAAGGTGCATAAGGACTGATCTCCCAGTGGACCTTGGCTCCATGCTGGAAGCCTCCCATCATCAGCGAGGGGTTGGCTTCCTTGTCGATTCTTGCAAACTGGGGGCTGAAACACCTCCTGAATTAAATGTCTCTAGAGACAGCTCAAGTGAGCTAGATAGAATTGCCCAGTGTTTGCCATAGACAGAAGCCCTACTCAGTGCCTCCTATGTGACCCAGGGATGCTTCAGATCCCTGAAAAGCCGAGTTCCATTTTAGACTGTCTGGGGCCCTGCAAACACTCTCCGCTGCCTCCTCAGCTATCAGGATTGTGGCAGGGCACGCTCTGCCAATGGCTGAATCCCCAGGCTCCCCTTCCCTCTCTGTATGTTCTGGCTGTCCCTGCATACTCCTAAGAGATGCTCAACCACTCCTGCGCCCCTTGGCTGCCCATGGCAGCTTGAAGTTCCCTTTTGTTCTGGCCGAGAGACCTCCCATCTTCTTCATCCAGAGACTACTAGAACTCACTGATGAATTCAGTGAAGTGGCAGTAGACAAAATCAGTATGTAAGTCTGCTCTATACATCTGAGTCTCTTTTTCTGTTTTGCATATAGGGTTATCGTTACCATCTTTCTAAATTCCATATATATGTGTTAGTATACTTTAATGGTCTTTATCTTTCTTGCTTACTTCACTCTGTATATGCTCGGGCCTGGGAAGACCCAGAGGGATCAGGTGGAGAGGGAGGTAGGAGGGGGGACCGGGATGGGGAATACATGTAAATCCATGGCTAATTCATTTCAATGTATGGCAAAAACCACTGCAATGATGTAAAGTAATTAGCCTCCAACTAATAAAAATAAATGGAAAAAAATCAGTATGTAAAAGTTGATTCATATTTCAGTACACTAACAGTGACAAGCAGAAAGAGAACTTCAGGATATTATCCCATTTACCATTAAATAATCCCATTTAACTGCATCCAAAAGAATAAACTACTCAGAAATAAACCTACCTAAGAAGGTAAAGCTTCCCTGGTGGCTCAGATGGTAAAGCATCTGCCTGCAATGAGGAAGACCTGGGTTCAATCCCTGGGTTGGGAAGATCCCCTGGAGAAGAAAATGGCAATCCACTCCAGTACTCTTGCCTGGAAAATTCCATGGAGTCTGGTAGGCTTCAGTCCATGGGGTTGCAAATAGTCAGACATGACTGAGCAACTTCACTTCAAGGAGGTAAAAGACCTGTACTTGGAAAACTGTAAGATATTGAGAGAAATATAACAGCACAAGATGGAAAATTATACCATGTTCTTGGATTGGAAGAATCAGTTTTGTAAGATAACTATACTACCCAAGGCAACCTACAGATCCAATGTAATCCCTATCAAATTACCAATGGCATTTTTCACATTACTAGAAATTTGTATGGACACAAAAGACCCCAAATGGCCAAAACCATCTTTAGAAAAAAGAACAGCCTTGGAGGGATTTCCTTGGTGGTCCAGTGGCTTAGACCCCATTCTCTCAAAGAAGGGGGCCCAGGTTTGATCCTTGATCAGAGAACTAGATTCCACATACAGCAACTAAGAGTTAGCATGCTTCAACTGAGATTCACAGGCCACAACTTAGAGTTCACATGCTGCAGGTAAAGACCCTGCATGCCACATCTAGAAAGATCCCAAGTGCTGAAACTGAGGGTTCCGAATGCTGCACCTGAGGATCCCACATGCCTCAATGAATATCAAAGATCCCATGTGCTGTACCAAAGACCAGGCTCTGTCAAATAAAGTAAAAAGAAAAAAAGAACACAGCTAGAGGAATCAAGCGTCTTGACCTTAGTCTATACTACAAAGCTATAGGAATCATAACAGTATGGTACTGGCATAAAAACAGACAGACAAATCAATGAAATAAGATAGAAATAATAGAAACAAGCTGATGCACCTATGGTCAATTAATCTACAACAAAGGAGGCAAGAATACAGTATACAGTGGAGAAAAGACAGTCTCTCACTGTAAGTGGTGCTGGGAAAACTGGACAGCTGCATGTAAAAGAAAGAAATCAGAATATTATCTAACACTATATACAAAAAACAAACTCAAAATGGATTTAAGACTGCTGTGTAAGGTTGAACATGTAAAACTGCTGGATGAAATCATGGGCAGAACACTCTTTGACATAAAACACAACAGCCTTGTTTTTGGATCCATCTCCTATAGTAATGGAAATAACAGCAAAAATAAACAAATGGGCTTCCCAGGTGGCACTACTGGTAAAGAACTTGCCTGCTGAGGCAGAAGACATAAGAGAAGGAGGTTCAACCCCTGAGTTGGGAAGATACCCTGGAGGGGCATGCAACCCACTCCAGTATTCTTGCCTGGAGAATTCCATGGACAGAGGAGCCTGGCGGGTTACAGTCCCTAGGGTGCCAAAGAGTCAGACACAATTGAAGCTATTTAACATAGCACAGGGACCTAATTAAACCTAAGAGCTCTTGCACAGCAAAAGAAACCTTTGAAAAATGAAAAGAACCTGCCGAATGAGAGAAAATATTGCAAGTGACTGATCTGGGGTTAATATCCAACATATATAAATAGCTCAAAAACACAGTGTCAGGGAAAAAAAAAAAAAAAAAAAACCCTTTAAAAATGGGCAGTAAAACTGAATAGAAACTTTTCCAAAGTAGATATACAGATGGCTAACAGGCACATGAAAAGGTTCTCAACATCACAAACCCATCAGGGAAATGCAAATCAATATCACAATTAAATGTCACCTCATACCTATGAGAATGGCTATCATCAAAAAGAACACAAATAACAAATGGTACCAAGGAAGTGGCAAAAAGGGAATCTTTGTGCACAGTTGGTGGGAATGTAAATTGGTGCAGTCACTGTGGAAAATAGTAGGAACGTTTCTCAGAAAAATAAATTGAGCTAGGTGACCCAGCAATTCCGTTCCTGGGTATATATCCGAAAAAACCAAAAACACTAATTTGGAAAGATATATGCACCCCAATGTTCACAGTAGAATTATTTGCAACTGTCAAGATATAGAAGCAATCTAAGTGTCCATCAATGGATGAATGGATAAGTAAGGCATGGGGCGCACACACACATAAACTTAATGCAATAGTACACAGTCATAATAATGAACAGCATTTTGCTATTTGCAGCAACATGGATGGACTTGGAGGGAAATATGCTAAGTGAAATTAGTCAGACAGAAAGTCAAATACTGCATGATCTCACTTAGATGTTGAATTTAAAAAAATAACACAGACTAATAACCTCAGATAGGCAGATGACATTACCCTCATGCCAGAAAGCGAAGAGGAACTCTTGATGAAGGTGAAAGAGGAGAGTGAAAAAGCTGGTTTAAAACTCAATATTCCTGGGTCATATGGCAGTTCTATTTCCAGCTTTTTAAGAAATCTCCACACTGTTTTCCATAGTGGCTGTACTAATTTGCATTCCCACCAACAGTGTAAGAGGGTTCCCTTTTCTCCACACCCTCTCCAGCATTTATTGCTTGTGGACTTTTGGATAGCAGCCATCCTGACTGGTGTGTAATGGTACCTCATTGTGGTTTTGATTTGCATTTCTCTGATAATGAGTGATGTTGAGCATCTTTTCATGTGTTTGTTAGCCATCTGTATGTCTTCCTTGGAGAAATGTATGTTCAGTTCTTTGGCCCACTTTTTGATTGGGTCATATATTTTTCTGGAGTTGAGCTGCAGGAGTTGCTTGTATATTTTTGAGATTAATCCTTTGTCTGTTGCTTCATTTGCTATTATTTTCTCCCAATCTGAGGGCTGTCTTTTCACCTTGCTTATAGTTTCCTTTGTTGTGCAAAAGCTTTTAAGTTTCATTAGGTCCCATTTGTTTATTTTTGCTTTTATTTCTAAACTTCTGGGATGACCCAGCAATCCCACTTCTGGGCATACACACCGAGGAAACCAGTTCTGAAAGAGACACGTGTACCCCAATGTTCATCGCAGCACTGTTTATAATAGCCAGGACATGGAAGCAACCTAGATGCCCATCAGCAGACGAATGGATGAGGAAGCTGTGGTACATATACACCATGGAATATTACTCAGCCATTAAAAAGAATTCATTTGAATCAGTTCTAATGAGATGGATGAAACTGGAGCCCATTATACAGAGCAAAGTAAGCCAGAAAGATAAAGACCATTACAGTATACTAACGCATATATATGGAATTTAGAAAGATGGTAATGATAACCCTATGTGCAAAACAGAAAAAGAGACTCCTATGTATAGAACAGACTTGTGGACTCTGGGAGAAGGCGAGGGTGGGATGTTTCAAGAGCACAGCATTGAAACACATATATTATCTAGGGTGAAACAGTTCACCAGCCCAGGTTGGGTGCATGAGACAAGTGCTCGGGCCTGGTCCACTGGGAAGACCCAGAGGGATTGGGTGGAGAGTGAGGTGGGAGGGGGGACCGAGATGGGGAATACATGTTAAAAAAAAAAAAAAAAAAGATACACTATGGTTATGATAAAAAATAAATTAATTAATTAATTAAAAAAAAAAAAACTCAATATTCAAAAAACAAAGATCATAGCATCCAGTCCCATCACTTCACGGCAAATAGATGGGGAAACAATGGAAACTGTGACAGACTTTATTTTCTTGGGCTCCAAAACCACTGAAGATGGTGACTGCACCAATGAAATTAAAATATGCTTGCTCCTTGAAAGAAAAGCTATGACAAACTTAGTCAGTGTATTAAAAATCAGAGACATTGCTTTGCTGACAAATGTCCATCTAGTTAAAGCTGTGGTTTTTCCAGTAGTCATGCATGAATGTCTGATTTGGACCATATAGAAGGCTGAGCACTGAAGAATTAATGCTTTTGAACTGTGGTATTGGAGAAGACTCTGGAGAGTCCCTTGGATTGCAAGGAGATCCAACCAGTCCATCCTAAAGGAAATCAGTCCTGAATTTTCATTGGAAAGACTGATGTGGAAGCTGAAACTCCAATATTTTGGCCACGTGATGCAAAGAACTGACTCATTAGAAAAGACCCTGATGTTGGGAAATATTGAATGCAGGAGAAGAAGGACAGGACAGAGGGTGAGATGGTTGGATGGCATCACCAACTCAATGGACATGAGTTTGAGCAAGTTCTGGGAGATTGTGAATACTGGGAAGCCTGGAGTGCTGCAGTCCATGGGTTCTCAAAGAGTCGGACATGACTGAGCAACTGAACAACAACTGAATATTAAAATAAAAGAAGTTGACTCAGAGACACAGAGAACAAACTAGTGCTTACCAGTTGGGAGAGGTAAGGAGGAAGGGGCAAGATAGGAATAGAGGAGTAAGAGGTACAAACTACTATGTATAAAGTAAGCTACAAGGGTATATTGCAAAACATGGGGAATATAGACAATATTTTGAAATAGCTATAAATGGAGTATAACCTTTAAAATTGTAAATCAGTATAGTGTACATCTGTAACATATAGTTCTGTATAGCCACTGTACTACAATTTAAAAAGTGAGTTTTCTCAAATGGTTCTGGGTTTTATAGAATTAGCTCTCTAATTTAATTAGGATTAAAGGTGCTAAAGATTCTGTACTAAAGACAGCATCGATAGTCTATGGCAACAGATTTATGGAAAATATCTCCTTTGGATATGCCTGATGAACTACTTAAAACATGGGCTGGGTACAAGGTGTTATGTGACTGTGTATATGATACTTTTGAACATTTTTGGAACATTGATAGATATGATGAGCTTTCTGGTTGCCTCCAACGTAGTTGGAAAGAGTGTTGAAAGAAAAGGATTAGCTCAGTTTACAATAAAAGGCCCAAATGTGTACCCTTATGTGTACCCATAAGGAGACATGAATCTCCTGTAGATACAGGGTTGAGATTGCAAATGATCACCATGCAAACGCTAATCCTTCAACTGGTTGAACTAGACTTGAAGTTGAATTCTGCCACTAGAGTTTCCTGTTAAAATGAGGGCACTGACTTGGAAAGAATGGGATTCTGTACATTGTGATAGAGCTGTGTGGGGAGACCCTGATGAAGCTGGGGACACTGAGCCCATCAAGTATGGTGAGTCATCCTTTCCAGCAGAAGAATCCTCCCCACCCTCAGTGGGAAGCAGCCTCCTGACCCCCAGTGGGATCAGACACCCCATATAAAGCTAGATCAGGTCAAAATGATTCACTAAGCATAAATTCTCTATTTAATATTGCAACTCAGGGAGTTAGAAAGGGCTCTTATCAGTTTGTCTGGTTGGTTGAACTATGCACCAAAAGTTGGCCCACAGTGAGTGGAAATGTCAGACCTGCCTTGGTTTAATACAGAAGAAGGCATTCAGAGGTTTACAGAGATTTGACTGTTGGTGTGGATTTGTCATTTAACAGCTACTCACCCATACTGGGAGAATTCCAAAGACATACCTTTCACCAAGACTGTGAGGGGAGCCCCAGAACCCTTGAAGAACTATGTGATTGTTCTTCTCTGCAGGCCAGAACTCACAGTAGGAACTTCAGTCACTGAACTCGGAAACCTAAATGCAGTGGGAGTATTTAGATCCCCAGATGGCCAGAGCAAAGTGGCAGCATACAACCACCAAAGACATGGTCGGCCTGTTTACAGTAATGGAGAGCAGAGTCAAAGCACCAATCAGAACAGGCTGACTTGGGCAGCTCTATGGTTTTATCTAGTTGCTCATGATCTTCCTAGAAGTAAAAGAGTTAGGAAGCCCAGTAAGTTCTTACTTGATATGTACAAGCAGAGATGTCAAATGAACAAAAGCCTATTCTGAATCATAAAAACAGAAAGTCATAGTCCTTTGATCAATCCCCAGACTTGAGCCATTCAAACTCTCAGAAGAAAATGCAGAGGTACATTTTGATGACATTGGATTTCAGAAATAGATTCTTAGATGTGACACCAAATGCATTAAAAACAAAATGAAAAAAGACAATGTGGGTGAACCTTGAAAACATCATGCTAGGTGAAGGAAGCCAGCCACCAAAGAGCACATATTATGATTCCACCTATATGAAATATCCAGAATAGGGAAATTTATAGATAAGGAAAGAAGATTAATGGTTACCTCAGGCTGGGGGCTTCCCAGGTGGTACAGTGGTATAGAATCCACCTGCCAATACAGGAGACACAGGTTCAATACCTGGCTTGAGAAGATCCCCTAGTAAGGAAATGGCTACCCACTTCAGTATTCTTGCCTTGGAAATCCTATGGACAGAAGGGCCTAGCAGACTGCAGCCCATGGGGTTGCAAAGAGTCAGGCATGACTGAGCTACTGAACAGACAAACATACATGGTTAGAGAAGGGGTGGCTGTGGGGAGGTGGTGTTGGATACAGTGTCTGTAAATGTTCATCCACTTTGGTTCTTACCGGTGTGCTGGACATTTTCTAAAATTGATTGTGGTTATGCTTGTCTGACTCTTCAAACACACTAAAAATAATTGCATTTTACACTTTAAATTGGTGAATTGTGTGCTATATGAATTTGTGTCAATAGACATATTTCAAACAATGTTTAAAAAGAAGAAATAGAATATTTAAATGAAACTATTAAAAGTCAGGATTTTGGAGACTTCCCTGGCCATCCAATGTTTAGGAATCTGCCTGACACAAAAGGGAACACGTGTTTGATCTCTGGTATGGGAAGATTCTCCGTGCCATGGAGCAACTGGTCCCATGTGCCACAAGTACTGAAGCCCGTGGACCCTAGAGCCCATGCTCCACAACAAGAGAATGGTCTCCATTAGCTGTGAAAGGTTGTTGCTGAACGATTAGACACGGGATTCTTGGCCTCCGGAGGAGACGAATTCAATCCGGGGCCAGAGACGAGGCTGGATCGCTCAGAGCTTTTGTGTAATAAAGTTTTATTAAAGTATAAAGGAGATAGAGAAAGCTTCTGACATAGGCATCAAAAGGGGGCAAAAGAGTACCCCCCCTCCTAGTCTTTAGCTGTATGTTATATAGTCACTCACAGTCTGTTAATGAAAAGAATGTCATAAAATTTAGAATGGCACCAGATAATTCATCCCTGGCCATAAAACGATTGACTTGAATCTTGTAGAAGGGCAGAATATCAACAAATAGTTTCATTTACATAGATTAGGGGAACAATACCTGAGTAAGTAAGTTAGGCCCTTTGGTGGAACCAACTTGAAGATAGAGTCTGGGGTTCATTAACATAGCTTAAGACAACATTTCCATGCGAAAAAGAAATGTATTGGTTATCTCAAGGTTTGAGAGTAGTTAGCTTCAGGTGAGACCAGGTGTCATGGCAACACAGCACTTTAAGAGAAACCTCCTTTTAAATTTGTATAGAGAAGGAAAGACATATCGCTGTTTTTTTTCTTCCTGCCGCTTAAGAGAGATAAAAATGTCTGGTACCTGCATATCTCCATTTGGAGACCCCTGGCCTTCCTGCCTGTTACCCTCTCATTCCCCCCTTTTCTTTTAGGAGAATTATGTTGCCTAGGGAAAAGGGGCGTTGTTCTCATTCCAAAACTGCTTCCGAGCTGACAAGGGGCGTTGTCCCTAAATTGGAGAGACAACATATTCTCCTTATCCTCATAGTGAGGATGTCTGATCCAGGGGCCCTAAATAGTAGTCGGAAGAAGCTGCAGTGATAGCAGGAGTTTGAGCAACCATTTGTAACTTAAGAGCTTTCATGCGACTAGAAACAAATCCAGTTACACAGTTACAGATGCAGGGAGCAAACAGCAAAAACAAAACAATCAGAATTATTGTAATTAAAATAGATTTCCACCATGGGGAACTAGTTAACGTCTCCCAAAGTGAGGCAATTGAGGCTTCAGGAGTATCCATGGCCCCAATCATCTTGTTCATGTGTTTAGTAAAATGAGTAACATTAGTGCTCATATCAGGTATATATGTGCAGCACTGAGTATGAATGATGGCACAAGTTCCTCCTTGTGCAGCTGTCAGAATATCTAAAGCCAATCTGTTTTGTAAAACCACCTTTCTAATTTGTGCTTGGTCAGCATTAAGAGCTGAAATAGCTTTTTGAGAATCTTGTAATGCCTGTTGAGTAAAATTAGTCAGAGCATTTACTCGTAGCATAACATCTGTAGTTCCCAAAGAGGGGACCAACACTGCAGCCAAATAATCGTACCAGTGAAATACAGACCTTGCCCACCGAGTTTTAAGGTGGGGTAAATTAGCAGGCTTTTCTGGAAGCTCTGAAAATATAAAGCCATGAGTAAATGCTAGACCCAGGGTGCATCTCCCTATCCAGCCATGGGGAAGCCAAGCCCATCGGTAAGAGCCACATATCCAGTAAGTCCCGTTGGGAGCAAGCCAGCGTGACTGAGATATCCAGTCCCAATTAGTGCCTGGCCAGACAAAGGGAGGTCCTGAACTGGGGTTGGAAAACACGGGAATGATTATGTTACATATTTCCTGAGGCAAACAATCCCAATTGCTACCAATCATTGTAATTAAGTTGTTGGCTAACTTTGGGGGATGGCTCTGTTTGTTCCCAACATATAGGGGCAGTAGATATTAGACGTCCCTTTTCGGGAGTTAGCCAAATAACCTCACCCCATATTTGATAAACGTCAGGTAAAAAACCATCAGATCTAGATCTATTTGTCTTATGTGCAGCAAAATAGTCATTAAACTGAGACAGTGTATAATCAAAATTAAAAGTCACATTATGTCCATAGTTAAGGTACAGAGTATTACACCAGTCCATTCTAGGGTTGTTAGATGTCATCAGACGAAGAAGAGGCATCACATGTGATTGTTGTCGAAGGTATTCGCAGACTTGGAGAAAGTCTTTTCCTTGAAGTGGAGATGTCCACCACGGGAAGCCTTCCACTGATGAAGAGGTGAGTGCTCCGCAGACCCAGCATTTAGACCGATTGTGGAATGCAGCATAGGAGTGAGCCCAGGACAGGAAGGCATTGTCTTGAGGATCAAATGGCAGACTCAGGATTTCTGGAGTCAGCAGAAGTAGGCTCACATAGATTATCGGGCCCATCTGAAACATACAAAGTCAGAGCATAGAAAGTAAAAGCATAAAATGACATCCCTTAGTTCTGGCCAGGGTGCCACCTCTTGACTCGAGTGTGATGTACCCATGAATCAATTCCTGGCACTTTGACAGCTGTGGGAGAAGAAAGAATAACCTGGTAAGGGCCTTCCCAGAGGGACTCGAGGGATGAGCCCCCAGATCGCAATGTTTTTATGAGGACCTCGGTTCCTGGCTCAAATAGAGGCTTGCTGGATTCAGAGGCTGGGTCAGGAGTCGTCTCCTGGAGTTCTGTTAATGCCTGTTGAAAAGCTGAGAGCTGAGTTACATAATTAGTTAACTCCATGGCTTCAGGATCTGTAACAATGTCTGTGCATAAGAAAGGCCTTCCATAAATACATTCAAAGGGGGACAGTCCCTCCTTTTTTGGGGCAGTTCGAGCCCTCATTAAAGCTATGGGTAGGACTTTAATCTAGTTGTCCTGCGTTTCTTGAGTTAATTTGCACAGATGTCTTTTGATAGTCATTAGCTTTTTCAACCTTTCCTGAGGATTGGAGTCTCCAGGAACAGTGTAAGTGATACTCTATTCCTAGAGCTTTAGACACCCCCTGAGTTACAGCAGCTTTAAAGGCGGAGCCATTGTCACTCTGAAGGCTCCGTGGCAGCCCAAACCTGGGGATAATTTCATGGATTAAAATCTTTATAACCTATTTAGCTTGTTCACTACGACAGGGGAAAGCCTCAATCCATCCAGTAAAAGTATCCACCCAAACTTGTAAGCAAGAATATCCATTAGCTTTTGGCATATGAGTAAAATCAATTTCCCAGTCCTCTCCAGGATACTTTCCCTTTCGTTGTAATCCAGATTTTGCTAGCTTTTCAGTCTTTGGGTTATTTTTCTGACATACCTCACACCGTTTGATAAAGTTCTTTAAAGTTTTCATTACATTTTTACCTTCAAACAAACGAGAAGCCATCTGGTAAGTACTTTCTACACCCAAATGAAAACTCTGATGTAAACCCTTAAGAATTTTCCACTGAGCATTTTCAGGAATTATTAATCGTCCATCCTCGGACTGTAGCCATCCTTTATCAGTAATCTTTGCTCCTCTTTTCTCATATCTTTCTAATTCTTCCTCAGTATATTGTGGTTTTTCTTGTTCCACAGGACCTGTCCAGATCAAAGGCGTCTGTAGGGAGGGGGTTTCGTAAAGTGCCGCTTTTTTGGCTTGAGAGTCAGCTAACAGGTTACCGGCAGCTACTTTACTCCCATCCCTGCTGTGCCCTTTGCAATGCATAACCGCTACTTCTTTAGGACAATAGATAGCAGTTAAAAGTCTCTCGATCTCTCTGGAATGCTTAATAGGTTCTCCTGTTGCTGTTTTAAACTGTCTTTCCTTCCATATTGCAGCAAGAGCAAGTAAAGTCAAATAAGCATACTTAGAATCAGTGTAAATATTCACCCGTTGCCCTTTGTTTAACTCTAGAGCTCGGGTCAGAGCCACAAGCTCCATTAACTGGGCACTGGTTCCCTGGGGGAGAGATTTTGCTTCTAAAACCTGTTCAGCAGTCACCACAGCATTACCTGCTTTATGCTTTCCATCTCGAACAAAAGAACTGCCATCTGTAAATATTTCCATGTCAGGATTGTCTAATGGGGTATCCATTAGATCCTCCCAAGCTGCATAGTTTAAAGTTAGGAATTGGGAACAATCGTGATCAGGTGTTTCATTTTCCTTCTCAGGAAGGAAAGTGGCAGGATTTAAATTTCCACAAACTTTAAGGTTAGTTACTGGTCCTTCTAACAACAGTGACTGATATCTAAGAAGCCTACTGTCTGTCATCCAAATATTAACCTTAGAATTCAAGATTCCACTCACATCATGAGAAGTCAGTACAGTAAGCTTTCATCCATTAATTATTTTTAAAGCTTCAGGTGCTAAAAAGCCGTGGCCCCAATTACTCTTAGGCAGTGGGGCCACCCACGTGCAATTACATCTAATTCTTTGCTTAGATAAGCAATAGGTTGCTGTTGAGGCCCTCGGGGTTGTGTCAAAACTCCCAAGGCCATACCTTTTCTTTCAGTGACAAACAAGTTAAATTCTGACCCTGTGGGCAAACTCAAAGCCGGAGCTTGCAGGAGAGCAGTCTGAAGAACCTTAAAATCCTTTTGAGTATCTGGAGACCAAACCGGTTTGTCGGTTTGGGCCTGCTGAGTTTCAGCTATAAGTTTATATAAAGGCCAGGCAAGTTCCCCATAGCCCGGAATCCAAATACGACAGTAGCCTGTGATTCCCAAAAATCCTCTCAATTGCCTTAAAGTCATAGGTAGGGGATGGTTTAGTATAGGTTTAATTCTCTCAGGGCCTATGGCCCTAGTCCCTTCTGATATGATTAGGCCCAGATATCTAACAGATTGTTGACAAAGCTGAGCCTTTTCTCTTGATGCCTTGTAACCGCAGCCTGCCAGAAAGTTTAAGAAATCTTCTGAGGCTCATGAGCAAGCTTCCTCTGTCTCAGCACAGAGCAAAATATCATCTACATATTGTAACACTACCACTTCAGAGCTATTAAAGTTTTGTAGATCCCGTGACAAACTTTGTCCAAATAAGTGAGGACTGTCACGAAATCCCTGGGGCAAAACTGTCCAGGTTAACTGAGAAGCTGGCTGTGTGGGGTCTTCAAAGGCAAATAGAAATTGACTTTCCTCCGCCAAAGGCACTGAATAGTAGGCATCTTTTAAATCAATTACTGAAAAATATTTGGCTTGTTCAGGAATTTCAGACAATAGAATATAAGAATTAGGCACCACGGGGTGTAAAGGAACCACAGCCTCATTTATTATTTGTAAATCTTGAACAAATCTCCATTTATCATTTGATTTCTTTATACCCAAAATAGGAGTGTTGCATGGACTGTTACAGGGAACTAATAGTCCCTGCTCCTTTAAATGCTCAATGATGGGTTTTAACCCTTCTTTAACCTCAGGTTTCAGTGGATACTGCTTCTTATGTGAGAATAAGTCTGGGTCTTTGAGCTTGACAACTACAGGAATAGCATTTTGTGCTCGACCCACAGATTTTCCATCAGCCCATACTCTAGGATTCACATTTTGTTCAACTAAAGGGAGAGAAAGGGAGGGCTCCATATTCATGAAAACAGGCATGGACCTTGCTCAGTATATCCCTCCCCAAAAGGAGTGAGGGTGATTCTGGCACGACAAGAAACTCATGTGAAAATAGCACAGAATCCCAGTTGCACGATATAGAATAACTGAAGTAATACCTTTTGGCTCGTCCAGACAGTCCCATTACGGAAGCGGATCGGAAAGAAAGTGGGCCAGGGGCTTCATTAAGCACGGAGTAAGTTGCCCCAGTATCTAAAAGGAAATTGACGGATTGGCCTCCCACCGTTATCAATACCCAGGGCTCCTCAGGTGTAATTAGGATGGGAGCTTGTGTGGGGATCCCCAGGCACCTTCAGTCCTGATGGTCTTGAGAGTCAGACCTCTGAGACCTACGCCTCTGAGGGCAGTCTCTCCTCCAGTGTGGTCCCTTGCAGACCGGACATGGAGCCGGGGGCGGCTTAGATGCCTGAGGGCAATCCTGCTTGAGATGACCCTTCTTTTCACAG